GCCTCCGCCTCCTCCGCGGCCGGCGGCGGCGCGCTCCACACGCCTTGAGCTTTCGCGCTCGTCTGGCCCATGGAATTAATTCTGGCTCCACTTGTTGCTTGGCCCAGGTCGGGGAAAAGGATGAGGGTGGCGGCGGGTTCCTACCGGTGAATTCCCGAGGCGAGAACGGGGAGCAAGCGCAGTGTGAGCTGGAGGGGGGCGAGGGGTATCGGGACTGGAGCAGGGGGAGGCAGCGCCTGGCACTGGGGCTTTGACTCAGCAGCATCGAGACATGTTTGTAATCGCTGCCCGCTCGCAGGATCCCAGCAAAATCAGATTTCCTGGTGAGGTTGTGTGGGTGGATTAATTGGGGACTGGGGCGGGGTGGGGGGGGCTTCCTGTATCTTGCCATCCAAAAAACAACACAAAACAAAAACCTCACGAAGGAGAAGCGCAGTCAATCAACAGTAAACTTAAGAGACCCCCGGATGCTTCCGTTGTTTAAACTTGTATGCTTGGAAATTGTCTGAAAGGCAATAAACATCTATCTGCTCCTTTCTTCCCTCTCCAGAAGTCGATTGGAATATTAAGTCCAGCAATGGCTTTGGGGACGGCTGGAGGTACAATGTCTTCCAAGTTCTTCCTTATGGCTTTGGCCGTATTTTTCTCCTTCGCCCAGGTTGTAATTGAAGCCAATTCTTGGTGGTAAGTTCATTCTATGTGCATATTCTCTCCCCCACCCCAAGATCCGTCTGTATGACGCTGCAATATTAAAAGCTGGCTAGAGCATTTATCTAATACATATGTGTGTGTGTGTATATATATATATATTAAAATAAGAATTTTCTCTAAACTTGCTGATATTGCACAGCGTATCTTCAGTTCCGTGGGGAGTTGGAACCTATAAATCTAGGCCTTTTTCTGAGGCCCTTTTTCTAACGTGTGCTTCTAGTACATCATGTAATAAAAAAGGAAATTCTCTTCTATAATAATTGTAAGCCTATCTATAAAATTTACTTTTTGCCACCTCCAGGTAGTAAAAGTGAGTTTTTCAACTTTTATTTTCTGTCCCTTGCAAGTCATTAACCTAGAGTCTAGGGGAGCAGAGTGGTAGGAACTCAAACTAAACTAAATGTAGAAGCATTTGGGCTTGAAATTTGATCAAAAGGAGGTGAACTTGAAGTAATCAAATGTCTCTAAATGGGAGTTGTTTTTTTTTTCTGGAAGGGACTTCTAGAAGGACTGCAGTATATCCAGAGGATTATTTTTGACGGCATTCTGGATATTTTTTCCCTGGTAAATGAACAGCATTTTTCTGATTGTCAAACATGACTTCTGTTCACTGGGTACCCTGTCTTGGGTCCTTCATAATCATATAAGGAGCCTTTTTAAACTATCCAGAAGCATGGTGAATTTTCTTCAGTCTGGATACTTGTTCCTCTGTTCTTCCAACAGTTGAGAGGAACTGCTTTTTCCTGTCCGTGTCTAATTGTGTCTACTGTTGGCAGTTATGTTTTTTTCAAGGCAGATCTGTCCAATTTATGGGGCAAAGTGAGTCATTTTCTTTAATGTCACAGGCTGGTCCTTTTTTGGGTGGATTTTGGAAATAACTGGTTCAGGTACCTGGCAGCCAGGACAAGGAAGGCCATGAAATGCTAACTGAGGAGCCAGATGGCAAGATGGGATCTATACAATACCTCTGTTTTCTGAGTGCAGTTTAAACAGAGGAGTTTTATGAAACCCTTCTCGTACTTTGTCATGAGGACAAGCAGGAGAGAAAAAAAACATCTGTGTTCTTAAACCTATGTATTGCTGACATGCTTTCGGAGCATGGGGCTCACTTTGAGAATTCACGTAAATCTTGAATGCACATATATCTCCTCCTTCCCCACTTTGCAGGTCGCTAGGTATGAATAACCCTGTTCAGATGTCAGAAGTATATATCATAGGAGCACAGCCTCTTTGCAGCCAACTGGCAGGACTTTCTCAAGGACAGAAGAAACTGTGCCACTTGTATCAGGACCACATGCAGTACATTGGAGAAGGTGCGAAGACAGGCATCAAGGAATGCCAGTATCAGTTCCGACACCGAAGATGGAACTGCAGCACAGTGGACAACACCTCCGTGTTTGGCAGAGTTATGCAGATAGGTAGGAAAGTTATATATATATATATATATATTTCTTTTTCTCCTAGAGAAAACCATTAGTGTTGGTTTAAATGCTTGATGAGGAGGGCACCTTTCAGCTTGGGTGGTGGCTTGGGGATTTCTGTTATTATGCAAGTCTTCTTAAGCCAAATGAGGGGTACATCAAGATGCCTTCATTTTTCCTAATGCTTAATTTTTTTCTGATATGCATTTTGATATGCATATCTGATATGCTTAATTTCCCAATGCTTATTTTTTGATATGCATTTTGTTCAGAATGGAAGCAGAATATTTAGTTTAGTTTCTCAAAAGTAAACAGGGACAGTCCAGTCATTTAGATCCCTTACTTAAAGGGATCTAATGATTCTTTAAACGTAAAAATTCGTTTGGCTGTTACAAGTATCTTAATCCATAGTTCACATCGCTCAAGCATCAAACTAGTGATCATCATCTTTTGAATGCTAGATAGACTGGAAGTGAGCAAGGTTCTAATTTTCCCACTATAGCTACTTCCTGAGGCTACGGTACTCTATGTATAAGCATATATACTTATATGCTTATGTAAGTGTATATATAAGCATATATAAGTATATATACGCATATATACACACACACATTTATATATGCTTATATATACACACACATATATGTATATATACATATATACACGCATATACATATATATGTATATAAGTTAAAAAGATTTTGTTTTTACTCCTAGAAAGAAATTTAACTAGAAGTGATCTAATTTGTGTGTGTGGGTGGTTGGGGGGGGAGTGACAATTGACAGAAAAACATGTTTGAGCTCTAAACCTAGAATTTTTTTAAGGCATAAGCATATTGCTTACAGTCTGAATTTTTAAAAATTTTAAATATGTTGAACTTGTTACTCTATTCAGAGATGAGATAGCACTTGAACTGGGATAAAAACAAAACATTTGAAAACTCTGTTGGTCTCTGGTTTGGCTTAATAAGCTAGTATCTTATTTGACAGATTGGTCTTATATGTGTTTTCTAGTGTGAATATATTTAAGGTCTCTTTAGCTTTATGCAAATAAGCCCTTATAATTAATATGACTGCAGTGACTCTGAAAATGAGAAACAATTTATCAAGCAATAGTTTATACTGACTGGAGATTAAAAAAATTGGTTTAACAGCCAATCACTAATGGATAAAATGCTTTTTAACAAAAACCCTGAAAAGTGCGTTAATTGAGAATAGAAAAGAATTATCAGTGGATGTTTGAGGCAAAGGACTTCAAAAACTAAAATAATATGGAATTGGAAGCCAGTCTGCTAAAAGAATGAGAGAATAGCTTGTGGCTGGCCACAGCTTGCTTGTTTCTTAGAGCTTTGCCCTTTCTGTCAATGATTAAAATGAGCTAATGTATATGGTAGAGTCTGAATGGAGCTTCAGGAACTTGGGAAGTGGTTCCTGCATTTGTGCTGTCTTAGCATTCTGATGTTGTGCAAGAGATAAAAGCTCAAAACTATCAGAATGATAAGTTGTCAGCTTTCCTCCTCCTATGTTTCTCAACCTCCTGCTGTTTGAACTATGGGACTTTTTTTTTTGGCCTGGACATGAGGTAGCAAAAATCCCACACCTTTTTAATGGTGACCAGAAGGGGAATAGTAGTTGAAACTGTTTTCCTGTATAGTCACTGAAACCAGCTAGATTGAACCTCTTGTTCATACATGGCCTATTTGAGGCCAAAGGGTACAGAACAGGCTCTCCATTTGCTAAGCGAATTTGAGTCCTGCTGGAGATTTATTTGAAATTGGTCCAAGATTCAAAGAACCTGTTTCCTCAGGGAACAAATAGAACACTTGGTACCAAAGCCTATATTTAACTCCCTAGCAAGAACATCCTCTGGTCCTCAGCTGTGTGGATGACCATCTGGAATGATGGTACCTGATGACCTACAAGTTAGTTTCCTGGATGCTGGGTGCAAGTCAGCTGATACTCTGGGAAAGAAGGTGTGTGTGTGTGTGTGTGTGTGTGTGTGAGGAGGGGGGGAGAGGAAGAGAGAGATTGAGTACCGGCCACCATCTCCATGGCCAGAGGCCCACAAGGGGGGTCTGATGGAAAGCTACTGGGTGCTCTTAGTAGGACCCGGGTGGCACTTTCTCTTTCTTAATTTACTTGAAAGAAGAGATGGGGAGCAGAAGAAATAAAACTCAAAAAATTATTTTTTTAATAGAAGAGAAACATGGTCTGAACTCCAAGAATGGGAAATTACTTTATGATTCTACCTCAGAGTCTGGAGAGGCTACGCAAAGAGGAGATTAAAAACACCTTTGATACTCAAAGGTGTGTGCGCAGCTCCACAGCACTTAGTGTACCATGGACATTGAGAGCAGGGCTTGTCTGTGAGAATCTGACCCTGTGAGGGGCCTCCAGTCTGAGAAACTCTGCTGCCACCTCTGACCCCCTCCTCAGCTCATTTTTCTAAGGTGCCGGTTGCTTGGAGGCACAATTGCCTCATGAAGGGCCCACTACTCATTCTGGAAACATTCTCATTTTTCATCATGCTACCCTTTCCTTCCAGCTTTTGTCCTGCATCTTGTCTTTGTTTCCATGCTGTGAAAAGCTATGTCAGGGAAGTGCTATTTTTAAGGGGTGTGAGGATCCAAATAGCTATAGATTGCACAAAGAGGAAAACCTAACTGAATTAGCAATATTCCAATCAGGAGTCCACAGCCGTCTCTCCAAAGAGCACTTTCCAAAGTGATGGGGTTTTTTTTTTGTGTGTGTGTTTTTGGTTTTCTTTTTTCTTTTTCCCCTTTTTTTTTTCTGTAGTCATCAATAAGCTTAGAGATTTGTGTTCTAGGGGCCAAAAAAGAAAATGCTTAAGATAGATGTATGGGGAACAAAAAGCACTTCATTTGTGTTTTGTTATTAAAAAAAAAGTCCTTCATGTTTTTACTCAAAGGATATTTTCTTATTTCTCTCTGTCCTCTGAGGGTCATTTTATCTTCTGTTTTCTAGCCATTTCCTCTTCCTTTTGCAAGTCTTCTGTCCTGGGCCTGGATGTATTCTGAATTATCAGCACTAATCCTCAAGTAACTTCCTAGAATCTGTCCTCTCCCATTTGTCTCTACTCCTCCCAACATTCTCTCCCTTTCCAAAGTGATCTAAAGAGATGTAAAGTCCCACAGGAACTTTCTGGATCCTCCCACCAACCACTAGCACACTCCTGAAGTGTGGGAAGAGGAGGATGTGTGAGTCATGGTGATAGAAAAGGGGGTATCACAAATGGCTGCAGTTGAAGTCCAGGTGAAAGACAGTCTGCTGAATACTTCTGTAGGATGAGTTTTCTGCTTGCTGCTGGGTTAGCCATAGCTGCTGTCCCCTTGATCCTTCCCGAAACTATTTTTGGGAAGCTCTCAAAGTAAGTATAGGAGTGTGCTGTGGAGATTTCAGTGCTTGGGCTCTCCTCCTATCCCCAGCATCTAGTTTAATACCTTACTTTACATTTGAGTAAAGTGAAGCTCCTTGTCCGGCTGCCCCCAAGGCCTAACTTCAGCTGGCCAAGTGTAACCCTTTCTCATGGTTTATAAAGTGGTTCTTGTTACAATAAATCTTTCCATATCCAAGTGGAATTTAAGGTGGTCTCTGATTGCCTCCATTTGTCTCCCTAGAAATATTGTTCTTATGGCTGTTTTGCAGTACATTTTTCTCTACCAGTTTTGAGAAGGGAGAAAACTTGCTTTTTGCCTAGGTGTTTTTTTCCCCTCCCTCCCTCCCTTCCTTCCTTCCTTCCTTCCTTCCTTCCTTCCTTCCTTCCTTCCTTCCTTCCTTCCTGTCTTTCTTTCTGTCTTTCTTCTATCATTCTAATGCTTTGTTTGTGAAAGTACATTACAGAATGTACTTGTTTAAAAGTAGACATGTATATCCTTTTTTGTGTGTATATGTGTGCCAGTAATGGGACTTGAACTCAGCGCCTTGCATTCTTGCCCACTTTTTTACTCAAGTCTGGGTCTCTCACTCTTGAGCCGCACCTCCACTTCTGGCTTTTTGCTAGTTAAGTGGAGGTAAGTCTTGGGTTTCTTGCCTGGACTGTCTTGGAGCTGTGATCACCTCGATTCTTAGATCTCAGCTTCCCGAGTGGCTAGAATTCTAAGCATGTCACTAGAACCTGACTACACTTTTTAAAAAATGTAATTTATCAATGCAATCAGCTGAGATTTAAGAAGCAGGTTACGTTTATAAGAACAGTTTAGCACTGTCCCCTATGACAATAACGAGCCTTGTCCAGAGATAGACTTTGTCCTGCCTGATGAACAGGGAGGAGAGTTAACAGAGGAGGGTTGACAAGCAAAAACCAGTGTGGCCACCAGGCATGTCTGGCTTAGGTTGGGAGCCTAAGATTTTTAGAGGCATGGATACTTAGCAAGTTTAGTACTTCGCCACTCAAAATGAAAATAATACCAAACATTAGAACTAGGGCAAGGAAGGCTACCCCAATTTTGTGCTTTCTTTCAATGACTTCTTTCATGAGCATATTTGGAAATAAGACTTGAATGTCTTCAAAAGAGCTGTAGAGGAAATCAATCCAGGACTGCTAGAGGCCAGCCTTAGGCTCTGAAATGTCAGAGCACACAGCAAGGATCTGCTTCTCCTTTGTTTCTTGATGTTTCTGTGTAAGTCAGAGATCTCTTTCCACTTCCCCTCAAGGTGGACCCAGGGACAAGGTAGCTTAAGGCTGGGGCCAGCCCTGCCCCTCCTTCAAGGGCTGCCTGCAGTTGAGAGCTCTAGGGTCCACTGGGGCATTTCCACATTCCCCAGTGGCCCCAGGACCCCCTGCTTCTGTGCATGGGTGAATGGCCGGGGGGGGGGTGGGTTCTGCCTCACTCAGTCATCCTTGGGCCCACACCTGGTGTGTATGTTGGGAGATCACCCTGCTCCCCGTTTTAGGAGTACCCAAGGCCTGTCTAGGGGGAAGTCTGCTCTAGCTCCCAGGCCCATCAGGCCTCAGGGTGGAACTGGCCCCCGGTGACCCCTCGTTCTGATCCGCAGGCAGCCGGGAGACGGCCTTCACTTACGCAGTGAGCGCGGCGGGGGTGGTGAACGCCATGAGCCGTGCGTGCCGCGAGGGCGAGCTGTCCACCTGCGGCTGCAGCCGCGCTGCGCGCCCCAAGGACTTGCCGCGGGACTGGCTGTGGGGCGGCTGCGGGGACAACATCGACTACGGCTACCGCTTCGCCAAGGAGTTCGTGGATGCGCGCGAGCGGGAGCGCATCCACGCCAAGGGCTCCTACGAGAGCGCGCGCATCCTCATGAACTTGCACAACAACGAGGCAGGCCGCAGGGTGAGTGCCTGACCCCTGCCCCTGTCTGGCCCATGGTATGCCTCCAGGCTTCCCGTCTGCTTTTGCAGTCGGCCTCTCGTCGCTTCCCCTCCCAGGGTCCCATTGGCCTCTTGGAGAGAAGATGCACACCCTAGAAAGAACTGGGGAGGTGGTGGATCGCCCCCTGATTGCTCCCCCCTGCCCCAGCTGTTAACTGGGAAAGCCCTAGGCCCTCTCATCTCTCTCCTCTCCTCTTTCCCTCTCCCCTTCCCCTCTACCCTCCTCTCCCTTTTTAGTCATTTCTGTTGGCGGAGCTCACAAACAGTTCTCCCTCCTTCCTGGAACATGTCTGTGGTTGAGTTGAAATTGGGGGGGGGAATTAATATTTATCTTCGTGAGGTGCCCCATTGAGCAAGAGCTTCACCCCAACATTGAGCCTCTTTCCCCCCCCCCTTCCTTTCTCCTATCCTTCTTATATCATTAGATGGCAGGCCTGATGTGGTGGATTGAGGGTTTTACCAAGGTGCTTTTCTAGGAATAGGAAGACATTTTTAACAAGGGGGAATTTTATAGGTCTGACTATCAAGCCAATGACAGGGCAGCAGGAGAAAGGAAAGAAGGAGCCACAGCAGTGCCCAGAGAGGACCGCGGCAGCCCCCAGAGCTGCCCAGTCCTGCTCTTCCCTCTCCCTAGTAGCCCACAATAATTTAAAAAGATACTCCCCCCCCCCACACCCCCGCGGTTAAACACATGGCATTTTATGGCCTCTTTAAAATGAAGGGCTGAAAACTTTTCTTAACTTTGGCAGTGTTGAAAACCAGGACCATTATTACTATTTTATTTATTTTTTTTCACAGAACCCAAGGTAGGTGCCAGGAACTTTCTGGTCAGAGATTTCACTCTTCTTGTATTTGGGGGTGAGGAAAAATGGAAGATAATCACAGAGTAGACCATAGAAGACTGCAAGGAGCCTTGGAACCCTCTGGCACTACACCCTTATTTCAAAGATTAGGAAACTGAGGCCAGGCGAACCGCTTAGTGACCATGGAAGAAAATGAATGGATTAAAATATCAGCCTAAATTGACTGGGATTAAATTCATACATCACAGTTTAGGAGTGAAAATTGAGAAGGCTGGGAATTAGAGAAATGTAGGTTAATTCAGTTTTGTCTATTTCTTTTGGTTTCCAATTGGTTTCCACATTTCTGTCTGCCAGTGGCCATGGTAATGGCTGTCCCTTGGGGGTTATTGTGACGACCAAATAAGGTCATGTAGTAGATTGAGTCATATGAAATTGCCATACTTGACTCTGTATGTGTGTGTGTATGTGTGTGTGCACGTACACATGTACACGTGCCAGTACTAGAACTTGAATTCAGGGCCTGAGCATTGTCCCTTAGCTTTTTTACTCAAGGCTTGTGCTCAACCACTCGAACCACAGCTCCATTTCTGGCTTTTTGGTGGTTAAGTAGAGATATGAGTCTTGTGGACTTTCCTGCCCAGGCTAGCTTCAAACTGACACTCAAGATCTTACTTCTGAGTAGCTAGAATTAGAGGTATGAGTCACCAGTGCCTAGCCAGATTTGACTATTTTGATCTCTAAAATAACAGTCGCATTTGCTTCAGACTAAGGTTTAAGTTTAGTGTCAGCCAGTAGTAAGATCTTTATAAATGATAACTTAATTATTAAACATTAGAGTAAAGTAAGTAAGGAAGTCAAAGATTGTAGATAATTCTAGCTAACTTATCTTCCTTTCACAATTGATGTTCAGCATTTGGAGGTATCAAGGAAGAACTAAGCTCTGCAGATTTCCTGTGCTGCTCTCAGGGGCTCAGGTAATTGTTCTGGAGGTAGAGTTGCCCCTCTGTGCTTAGAACTGCCCCTGCTGTGGTACCTGAGTGTGGGTTGATCCCCTCTCCCAATAGCGGCTAACAGAGGGACTTGTAATAGTAGGTCAGCTCTGTTGCTTCCGGAAGCCTGTAAGACCAGCTCACCTCAGCAATACCACTCATGCCTCTGTATCCATCTGAGTAGAAATGCATCTTGGACATAGGTGCATCTAATTCTTCTAGGATGTCCATAGTCTCTGTGCTCTGCGATCTTTGGTACATTCCTTCACTTCTCTTCTCCAAAGAAATCATCATAACTAACTAGAGGGTCAAAGCGTTTCTAAGTGGTCAAGAGGGAACTCTGTAGACCTTGAAATGCACCTTTAATGTTGAAATTTCATTTGACATCTGCATTTTGGAGGGCAGTACTGGGGTTTGAGAACTCAGGATCTTGTGCTTGCTAGGTAAATACCACTTGAGCCATGCCTCTAACTCTTTTGCTTCAGTTATCTTTTTATATAGAATCTTAACAGCTATGCCTGGGCAGACCTGAATCATGATAATTCTGCCTATGCATCTTTCACAGCTAGAATGACAGGCATAGGCCGCACATTGGCTACTGTGTATTTAAAAAAATAATTAGATTTATTTGGGCACAATCTGTCATTGGAACAGTGAGCAGAGCATGGCTTCTGGTGGGTGATGATACATAGAAAAAAGTTTTTCTGGGGGCTGGGAAGGTGGCTCAGTGGTGAAGCGCTTGCCTTGCATGCATGAGGCCCTGGGTTCAATTCCTCAGCACCACATAAGCACAAAGGAAAAAAGCCAGAAATGGCACTGTGGCTCAAGTGGTAGAGTGCTAGCCTTGAGCTGAAAAGCTGAGGGACAGCACCTAGGCCCAGAGTTCAGGTCCCACGACCACAACCCCCCCTCAAAAAAAAGTTTTTCTGTAGGATGGTGGGATGGGGTAGAAAGTTGGATATTGTGCTGGGAAATCATATTCAAATTTCCTCAGGGCGTTAGCTTTTTATTTTCCTTACAGGGGAGCACAGGTTTAATGTGTTTGCCAATCCTTTCTCAGCCTAGCTGAGCACCTGAAAGTCTTTATGCCAAGAGAGTACACTTTGGCCCTTTTAAAGTGAAAGCCCCTTAGGAATCCCTGGAGGAAAAAGGTAGCTGCTGGGGAGGAAGTGGCTCCAGGTTCTTGACAGGCCCTGGCCAGCACACCCACACCACGTGGACCCTAGAAGGTTGCTGGCACAAGGAACTGTGGGCAGTAGGGGCTATAAATAGACAGCCACTACCTCCCAGACTGCTGGGCACAGTGCTTCAGGGCCAGACCCTTGGGCAGTGCTCCTGGGAGGCCTGAGGTGACTGGGCAGAGGCCCAGACACCATGCCCCAGCACCCTGGAAAAAGATCAGATTTACTGAGTATTGAGTAGAGTGCCAAGCACACTTTGCCTCCCATCCTTAATTGTATCCTTCTACCAACACTGAAAGGTTTGTGCCATCTACAGATGGAAAACAGGCTCAGAAAGGTACAACCAATTGCCCAAATTCAAGGGCAGAGTCAGGAACAGAATCCTTGTCTGTCTGGGTGGCTCCTGCCCTAGGGGATGTTGTGAGCAAGGTAGGGACTAGATAGTAAGAAGGAGCAAGGATAGCAGGGATCCAGGCCCAGTTCCCCCACAGCCTTAGCGGTGAGACCTAGCGGCAGGCCACCTTCCTTCTCTGGCACACTGTGCTCTCATCTAATCCTGTCTAGATTACCAAGTGACTAGGATGATTAAATGAGATCAAGAGTGTAAGGGCTCTTACAATGGCAGTTGGTATACAGTAATGATGATTGGAACGCATCAAGATTTGAACACTGATCCTACTGGGGCTGGGTCACATTCCCAGCTCAGCACATACTAGCTAGTGCCCACAGCTGCCTAGGTTCAAATCCTAACATCCCCACTGAGTGTCAGTGATGGGATGAGGAACTCAACTCTGTGGACCTCCCCTCTTTCTCTGAGAAATGGGATGGCAGTAGCCTGCCTGGCAGAGGCTGGTTGTAGTGATACACTGAATAGCAGGCAGTCTCTGGGATGTGTGTTCATGGGAACTTTGTGTCCTCCCTGATGGTGGTTGATGATATTATGATGATGTCACGCCTTGAGAGAAGGCAGCACAGGCCTCTAATAGTGAGAATGAAGTGGAAATAAGGAAGTCCCTAGTTGAGCTGGGGTAGGAGCACATGGTTCCATCCAGAAGTTCGAGGAGAATTTCATGCACGTTGCCCAGGCTTGCATCTTGCATCCTCTAGGAATTTGCACACTAATCCTTCCCTATATTGCCACAGACGGTGTACAATCTGGCTGACGTGGCTTGCAAGTGCCACGGAGTGTCGGGCTCATGTAGTCTCAAGACGTGCTGGCTACAGCTGGCTGACTTCCGCAAGGTGGGCGATGCACTGAAGGAAAAGTATGACAGCGCCGCAGCCATGCGCCTCAACAGCCGGGGCAAGCTGGTACAGGTCAACAGTCGCTTCAACTCACCCACCACCCAGGATCTGGTCTACATCGACCCCAGCCCTGACTACTGCGTGCGCAACGAGAGCACGGGTTCCCTGGGCACACAGGGCCGCCTGTGCAACAAGACGTCAGAGGGCATGGACGGCTGTGAGCTCATGTGCTGTGGTCGAGGCTATGACCAGTTCAAGACCGTGCAGACGGAGCGCTGTCATTGCAAGTTCCATTGGTGCTGCTATGTGAAGTGTAAGAAGTGCACAGAAATCGTGGACCAGTTTGTATGCAAATAGTGGGCGCCTGCTCGCCACCCAACCCCGCTTCCCAGGATCCACTTATTTATAGAAAGTACAGTGATTTTGGTTCTCTCTCTTCTTAAATATATATATATATATACATACATATATATATATTTTAATTTTCCCCCAAAAACCACGACCAGAAGCATATTTTTCTGTTACATCTAAGAACTCTGTGGATTATTAATTAATATTATAATTATTACTTGGCAATAATAGGGGTGGGAATCAAGAAAAATATTTATTTTATAGATCTCTGAAAACCTTCTTCTGATAGTGTAAGATGAAGGGGAGATGACTCAGACCCTAACTCAGCCATCTGGATGGGGTAGGCATCCACAGGTACAGAAAATCCATTCTTTTTGTCTCAATTACAGAGTCCCATGGGATGGGTAGGACTCAGCTGGAAGAGGGCGGTACAAATCTATGCATGATTCAGCTTCTAGGACCAAAATGAATTGTTAATACTCTGGTGTGAGACTGAAGGTCTTGAAAAAAAATACAAAAGCCAAAATTCAGAGCCCCCCCCCCGTTTTCAAAGGGCTGCCAGCCTGCTTTTTTTAAAACAAGTATTTTCAAAATTATTGCTTAAATTGTAAGAGCAATAGTCTCATTATATCCAGAGTTAAGGCATATCATGTGTGTGTGTGTGTGTGTGTGTATGTGTGTGCGTGTGTGCGTGTGTGCGCATGCGTGTGTAATTCCCCAGTATTTCATCATTTGATGATCTTATTCTAGTAGCTTATGAAACAGGGAAAAGAAAAGTTCTCAGAAATTAAAAAAGTTTGAAAGTTCTTTTGGGACCATGAATTGGTAGTGTTAAATAATTCTGTGTACTAGACTTTGTTGTTGTTGTTGTTGCTTGTTTGGGAAGAGGGTGATAGCTTGAATATAAGAACAATAGCTTGTCATTTTCTTAGAAATACTTGGTTCCTAAAGGCTAATTGAAGGTAATACATCAATTCTTTTAACAAATCTTCAGCCCACAGATCACAGGTGATCATATGCAGTTCAGTCCTGTGCTATAGCAGTCAAAATTTGAAATCTTTCTTCCTACTGGGCCCCAAAGAGTCTTTGGTCCCTCTTTGTTGTGTGAGCTTTGGCACACATGCCAAGGGCAGCTCCGCTCCTCTGGACCCCCTTTGTAGGACAGGAAGTGGAATGTCTGCTAAGAAAACTGCCACTTAGGGATTTTGTAACTTTTTATTCGGAGGCACAGTAACTTCATAGTTTTGATGATATCACTTGGCTGAAGCAATCCACAGAGGTGTCTCAGCGTTTTGCTGTTATAATCCTGTGTTAGAGTATCGACTCATGCTTTTCCTATTATCCTGCAGGTACTAAAGCTGTTCCTAGTGTACTTGAACAGTTGCATTTATAAAGGGTGAGGGGGAAATGTGGTTTAATGGTGCCTGATATTTCAGTCTTTTGTACATAACATATATATATATACATATATAAATATAAATATAATTATATCTCTGTGCAGCCAGCAATTTAGATTTATAGGTGACTCTGGGCTTACTTCTCTGTCTGGAACATAGTCATACTTCATTACAATACAGTTGGGATTTTTCTAAAAGAGTTTTGAGTCTCAAGCTTGGTGCGTGGCCCTGACAGGATCGTACCCCCAGCACCAGGAAGAAAGCTGTGCTCAGAGGAATCTTGATGGTCTGACTCACTGAAATACATGTTTGTTTGAAGGTTGTCTTTCCCGCCCACCCCCTGTTCTTCACCTCCCTTTCAACATCCCTCTGAAGAGAGGACATAATGGTTCCTCACAGATGTGACTGTAAAGAGATCTGGGCGTATCATTGTTTCCGTTCACTTAGGACATCTTGTAGAGTGGAAATGTATGTGTCAGATTTGGTGCTACTTGTCAGAGTCCCCGTTCCTACATAGCTGGCGTAACTTTTTTTGGTTCCCCAACAAAGGACATCACTTTTCCAAAAGTGCCATCAAATGTGTTCTTCTCTCAGACTGACACTGTTTTAAAGGTTTGGAAAGATGCAGGTGTTCCGTAGCTTTTCTAGGCATGGTGGCCTTCATGCCCCCTCAACCAGCTGGGCTCTTAACTCATTGCACAGGATACTTACTTCCCCTCAGCTGCAGTAAATTGCAAGCAAAAGAAATCTAAAAAAAAAAAGCACTAATTAGTTAGAAATGTCACTTTTTGGTTTTTATTCTTCAAAAACCATGAAGTAACTTTTGTTATTTGCTAAATCAGATTGTGTCCTTTTTTTTTTTTTGGTAGCAATTCATGTTTATGAACAGAGTGGAGTTTAACAATTCTAGCTTTTCAAAATAAACTATTTAATGTAAAAATATTCTACATGTCATTCAGATATTATGTATATCTTTTATGGCCTTTATTCTGTACTTTTAATGTACATATTTCTGTCTTGTGTGATTTGTATATTTCTCTGGTTTTAAAGAAAACATCGAGAGGCTTATGCCAATGGAAGATAGAATATAAAATAAAATGTTACTTGTATATTGGTAAGTGGTTTTAGTTGTCCTTCATGTGGAGATTTTTGGTGAACCCATGGGGTAAAGCATAGAAGAGCAAAGAACTTTACCCAAATGAAACTATTTCGAAGCTTCAAAAGGTTTCTGTATGTAACAGAACAAAAGGGCAATTTTCTTTTCTTCTATATGTTCCTCAAAAAAAAAAAAAGAAATCAAACAGATGGCTTAAAGCTGGACGTAGGATTGCTCACATACTTTTAGCATTATGCATGTAACTTAATTGTTTTAGAGCGTGTTGCTGTTGTAACCTTGAGGACAAGAACCAGCAAGGCACATGCTTTTATCCATGACCAGATTTTAGTCACAATGCGTATATATAATGGTTGTATGTTTACCACTGCAAGGAGGGCAGCTATTTGAATTTCTTGTGCACCACGTGTGGTATCTCTTTGTCCCTTGGAAGGCAGGTTTTATTTTTTTTAAAAAGAGCCTCAGTCTACAGAGAATGAACTCATTAGAAACGAAAGATTTCTTATGTTAAATGCCATTAAGTTCCACTGCTTTCTGAAAATGTACATGGAGATCTGGTTAGTGCCTTGCAGACTGATAAACTAGCCCTTTGCTATTTTTCCTTTCTCTTTCGGATAACCTTATAACATCTTGAAACCTTTTAAGGAAGCCAAGAATGCATTATTCAAAAAAAAGAAAAAAACCCAGTAGACCAACATATAGAGTGTTTAAAATAGATTTCTGGGCAAATTCAAACCCTTGTGGTTCTAGGAGTCACATCTGTTTCAGTTTTTCATCTGTTGTGTAGTGACCAGTGTTCTTTATTGCAAAAGCATACAGTTGACGTAGCAAAGTCAGCATCTTTTTCCTTCTCATCCTGGAGTTCATTCAAGATTTTCCCAATAGGGGGTGGGAAGATGAGTGAAAACTGTATCTATGGGTAGTGGCAGTCGTGTGCAAAATGTTCGCAGTGGGTTACAGGAAGAGGATGCTTCTACCTTTTATGGCAGTTAACTTTTCTCTGATCAGCTTCTTGGTTCCACTTTTTTTCAAGTTCAAGCGTAAGGCTGGCAGTGCCTCAGCATGAGTACCCAACCTATTACAACCCTCACTTGCCAACGATGATGTTGCTGATGACCATTTCAATTCATTCTTATACACCATGATCCAAGCCACTGGAAAATGATATCACTGAGAGCAGTATGACAAATCCTCCAATTAAGAGATGAGTACTAGGTGGCTTCATCCAAGTTAAACAGCTCCCAAAGACAGTGACCCATGTCCCCACCGAGTGACATAAGAGAATCAGAGAAATAGGAAAAGGACTTAAATCTCAAAGTATATATTTAATGCAAGTTAGTACCAAGGTATAGGTCTAAAATACTGCATTTTCACTGTAAAGAATACCTTAAAATATTTATTTTTAAAAAAGTATTTTCTAGTCTCCCTTCTATCTATGGAGTGGTAAAAATGAGATTCTGTGTTTTGAAAGTGAGATGATAAAATTTAATAGAGAGAAGTTTTAGAGACCTAGGAATTACAAATGATAAAAGAGGTCTTCTAATTTGCTTGTTAACATGAATTTTACATTTAAAGTTGATGAATGGGTATGTTATATTTTAGGGAGAGATCTTGTTAAGCCAACTTGAAAAAAATGGATGTAATTAAATGTTGATATAAATTTTGTTTTTAAAAAATGTTACTAGTTTGGATCTAGAAGACTGAATTAAAATGCGGTCTCTATTTTGAAAGTGAAGAAAGAATAGAAAAAAAACAGAATCTTCAGAGAATTTTTATATGCAGTGTACAATTTACTGGGCTAGAAATGAGATAAAGATTATTTATTTTGTTCATATCTTGTACTTTTCTATTAAAATCACTTTATGAAATCTAGTGTGCTCACGTGTGTGTATTTAGCAGAAAAAGTTGTTCACTGGAGTTTGACATGGTTTCAGATGACACTAGGCTTGAATCTCAATCTTGTTTTGTACTTTAGTGCTTATGTTCCTTTGTCTCTGGTGAATTTTTCCATGTTTTATATGCTCTGCTAAGTGTCAGAGGCACCCTTCCATTTGTGACTGTCCAAAATATCCCCAGCATTGCTGCAAGTGTCCTCGGGTACAAACTCACGTTCAGTTCAAAACCATGGCTTTAGATGGAGAGATTGAGGGTCTCAGAGCTTGAGAAGTCTGTGTTGTTCTCAGTGGTGGATGGAGATGTGGGTGGATTGACTTGTGTGCGAAAGAAGTCCCTTGTGAGCTTCCTGCTTAGAGTTTTAGGATCCACCATCATCTCTAGGACAAGCTGGCTTTGTAGTTAAGAACAAATTTGGGCCGTACAGCCTGGGCTCCGTTTTTAGTTCTGCCCCTTGCAGTGTCACCCTGGGACAGTTGCATAACCCTCTCTGTTCCTCAGAACTCTTTGTCTTTAAAATAGAAGAGCAACAGACTTCTTAAGCCCTTAGGGTTACTGTAAGGATAAAATGGGTCTATCTAGCAGGTTCTACTGCTCAGTGAGCCTCTGTACCTAGGTGGGGAAGTGGATAGCGCCAGGGGTGCTGGAATGAAAGCAGGAGGACTCAGCAGCAGGGTAAGTGCTGAGCCTGGGTGGTGTTTTGTATACCACACTCTAAACTTAGTCCTGGGAAGATGTCCTTCTGGTTGGGGGGAAGGTTACAAACAAGGCTTCCAAATGTATTTTAGTTGACTGACATTGCATTAGAAAATACTCATATTCACTGGTCACTTTTAAGTGATGAGTAATTTGTTTTCATATTAAACGTTGGGTTTCTGACTTGAAAACTGGGAAGATCTCATCCTCCACTCCGACCATGGGTCTCAGCTCCCACCTAACAAACTGTGATCCAAGTAGCCTGTCATTTTGGACAGGGCTAAGTGTGTCCAGTTTGCCTGTCCTGTATGTCACCTACCTTCACCTGTGTGGACTTTAGCCTTTGTGATAGTTTATAGTGGCATTTTCCTGTGTGTCAGGTTCTTCACCCTACCTGCACACTGCTGGCACTAGGTCAAGGGGAGACCTCACCGTCAGGATGACAATAAATAGCACCCGTCCATCTGTGACAACCAAAATGTCTCCAGGCACTGAGGAACATCACTAGGGGGGCAAAAACCACTGGTATAACCCAAAAGGTATGTATTTCTGCTCTAGCCAATGAGGAAAAATAAAAGGATTCTTCTTTTGGTGTGAAGAAATGCCTGGTACATCACAGGAACTCAAAACTCAACTTTATAAGTGCATTAAAAATACAGATTGGGCCTGTTACTGATGGTGACCTTGAATCTCTGTGACCTTCGTGACCTTGGCTGGAGGACCCGCCCAATTAGAGTGGATTTATTTATTTATTGCCAGTACTGGGCTTAAACTCAGGGCTTAGGCTCTGTCTCTTAGCGTTATTGCTCATGGCTAACACCCTAACACTGGAGCCATATCTCCATGTTCAACTTTTTAGTGGTTAATTGGAGATAAGAGTCTCAAGGATTTTCCTGCCCAGGTTAGCTTCAAACCATGATCCTCAAATCTCAGCGTCCTGAGTAGAATTATAGGCATGAGCCACGGGCACATGTTGACACCCTTCCCTCCAAGAATTTGTAGAATTAATATGTTTTAATAGTTATTCAAGAAATAAATGAACTTTGGGTAAAAAGGAATGAATGTTCTCTGGGAGGCAATCAGGGGGTCCCAAGACACATTCCAAAAAGTAGGGGAAGAGGAAAAAAGTGAAGGAAACAGGCAAAGGGTTAGAAGGATAGAAGGGGGAGGGTAGGGCACAAAATGTGGAGACATCCAAAGGAGGAAAGAGAAACTCCTGCTCTCTTCCCTCTATGTCAGAATAATTTCATTCTTGTCACCCACAAAGACTAGTACCGAGGAATGATAGCATGCCTGCTACTTGCTAAAGGTTTAAGTAATATAGCCAGGAATTTTTGGAGATATTTCTTTGGACCTCCATGCCTTCCCTCCCTTCCCCACCTCTTTTATGCTGGTACAGGGGTCTCGAACTCTCTCGGCCTTTGTGTTTCATGACTCATGCTGTCCCACTTGAGCCACACCTGCAGTTCTACATTTACTGGATAATTGGAGACAGATTCTCTTGGACTTTCTACCCAGCTGGCTTCAAATGTTGAGATCCAGAGGATCTCAAATCTCCTGAGTAGCTAGGATTTCAGTGGAACGTGATGGGAAGTGGGTGGTGTATTTTGTTTTAGAGTCCTGGCATTTAGAAAGCTCCTGGGAGTTCTCTACTGTGTCTTTCTGCCCTCCATTCTGAAGTTGTAGCTTTGATGGAATCATCACGTAGGATGACGTGGGAGCTCCCTCCTTAGACTGCTTCTGACTGGTACATAGTTCCACAGCAAATCATTACATTCTAACTTCTGCAGTAAGTCAATGCTATGAACTTCAATGATAAGTCAGATTTTTGGAATTACCCACTACTTTACTTATTGTGGGCTTTTCAGAGGCTGTCACTGAGTCTCTCAGACCCTAGGGAGTCTTCAACCCAGAAAATTCCTGACACCGCAGGGCACACAGATATCCAAGAAGTCCACCATCTTGGAAAATTCACAAGTGTCTTCATGTATCAGCATGGGGTCCTCTCCCTCCATCCGCATGACCCCAGATCACCAGAACTGGTTCCCTTCAGTCAGGACAGCTTGGCCAGACAGACCCCTTGTATGAAATAGGCAGGTATTCTCCCCTTCCCAATCTCTGACTGCCACTTTATTATAGCTGTCATTTTGTTCTCTAAGGACCCATCGACATATCAATTTATCAATTGGACAGTTGAAAGTGTTTAGTGAGTACCTACTGTGTGCTGGGCACTGATTTAGGAGGTGGAGAAATAACAAAGCAAGCTTTGACTGTTTTTTTAGGGGTGGGCATATATTGAGGAGAACCTGGGAGAAACAGGCTGGCATAAAGGACCCCAGGAAGAGGAAGTAGAGAGACAAATGCAGACTTGAAGAGTCAAAGTTGCTCTGTTGAGAAAGAGGTGTTTGAACTGAGCCTTTAAAGACAAGTAGTGGTTAGCCAGGTTAAGTGAGGAGTCCTGGGGTGCGCATTTGAGAAAGAGGATTTGATATGTAAGTAGGAAGATCATGGTCTGGTCCAGGAATAGCCTGGGCAAAAAGTATGAGAGAAAAGAAACAAATGAAGGGAAAAGGAAAAGAAAAAAGAAAG